TTGATGTCTATGGCTGTAGCTGTTGTATCTGTATGATTTTAATCGTACTGCCGCTTCTGATGATGGGAATGCAGCAAAAGCCAGGAACTCTGCGCATTACAGAGTTGCGACATGATGGTACTAAGAAACACGCGTCTAGAACTAAAAGAAAAGGAAACTAACGAAAGGAGCATGGTCCGCTAAAAAAGGGGCGAACCTAGAGCCAGTTAACCCCTGAACTATATATTATCAGAGCGATCAGAGGGACACCCCCATAGTAAGGCTTTACGACCAGATCCAACGTCACTTGCACAAGTTATGTTTCTGCTAGATAAATGTTTTATTTTTACGTCCAGTACTGCCACTGAACATTATTTTAGACAGCCGGCTTTCTTGTAGTTATTAAAGAGCCGGATAACGTTGATAACGCAATTGGGTTTGTCTACGCTCGTTTTCGACTCAAATCCCAACTTCCGTAGGCAAGTGTAGGCAAAGGCTACTACACTATCACGAGGACCTTCTATTGCACAAAATAACACTTCAAAACAGTACTCCTCGTAGCGGTAAACTACATACTTATCGTCGTTTAACCCATGCTACCATCTCATCTCGGATAGCATTCTGCATCACCGTAATGACTCAGTCATATAATACATATTTGCAAGTTTTAGATCCGGAATCACGTTAGTACCATATCTTATTTCTCTAACAGACGTCCCGAGTGTTTCATCGAAAGTTGCGCCCGCAGACAGAAGTCTTTTCTATCCAGTACAAAGAATCTAAATCACTGTTTAATAGTAACGTACCGCGTTATCGAATTTCGGAATCACCCGCAAAGTTCACTACATTGTCAATTTAAAGAATTTGTTGCCTCCTAAACTCTTGAGACATTTTTAAATGGTGCATAACAAAAAAAAACTAGAGCTTCTGTAGTTATATGCGATGGTCGAACATCACAGAAAAAGCAAAAATAATTGCATGCATTTATTTTTATCTGAGCACTTCCTAGCTGCCAAAACAATAAAAGTTCCGCGATATATTCTCTCTAGAACTAAGAACTCAAGAAGCAGCAAAAGACCCGTAATCCATCTATTATCTTTGCCACTTTTCAAAATGTTTTGTTACAAAATACCGTCGGCGAAATCCTGGTAACATGATAAATAAACAGCCAGTCATCCTGTGTTACCTAGAATTGAGTTTCTGTCCACGGAGGGAGCTTAATCTTGAAGAAATGCAATGTGCATATAGCAAAGTCAGGCTTGATAAGATCGCACCAAATAACATCTATAGCTTTCACCAGTTTTTAAAAACTGAGTAATAGTTCTATTTCACGGGTAAGGCCTACCAATCTGACACTTCAATTTGCTGATAGACAAAATATTGAGCATAGACATCTTATAGTCCAAATGATCAACTTTTCATATGAGGACAGATGTCAAGGCGATCACAAATGATAAAGAAAGGTAACGATTTAAAATAAGACAGAACTCGGAAGTAATATAAAACTGACTGTAGCTTGAATTTAAAAATTAATTCACTAATCAAATTAGAAACTGACTAAATTTAATTTGAAACGGTACTGTTGTGCTAGATGTTAATGAATAACGGGATATTTTTTAATTGTTATACAATGCGTGGTTATCTTGTAACTGGCCATATTTAATATAAAAAAACCGACGTTTCTTGTGGCATCTCTGACAAACTGTGAGGTTGAAAAACGATTTAGTTATAATATAAGACCGCCGAAATATCCACCAAAAGATAATTACCTAAAAATAATTAAAAATAAGAGATTTCGAGAATGTTTTTGTCCTGCTCTTCAACAAACGATTTTTCATAAACCTATTTTGTCATGTACGACCGTGGATAAGTAAACACAATCTAGCAAAATTGATCATGTCGCTTATTCATCTTTGACTAATGATATATCATTCCCTTCTTTTTTTGGTGGCGCCAATCTTAAAGAATTTAGAGATAAAATTTCCCTAAATATGCTAAATATGTGCTTGGTATTTTTCAAGCAATTTGAAGTGAAAGACTTTGGGCCGCGCTTTATTTTTCTGGAAAGTAAAAATCGAGTATTAAGAAGTATGGACTGTAATCTGTGTTAAGATCAAAATGAATGCTCCTAAGGGGTGTTCACGCTGCAGAAGGGGGTTCAGGGACCAGTGCGAATCAACACATAGTGTTCAAGTAGTACCAACGGTTTCGCGGTAGACGAAAGGCCCTTAAAGACGACCTTCATGATGGCTAACGAAAACACGAAAAAGTCAGATCAACTCGCAATAGATTTTTATAATCACCTTCTGACGTATCTGCGTAAGACTGGCAGTTGTCACTTGGTTGGACGTGCGATTGGAGTGCATCAGTTGTTTTTCCCTAATCTATTTATCCATTGAATACGTTGGTTGTTCACCCTGTCCAGCGCTAATCCATGCTTCACTAAATCAACTTACAAAAATTTTCCCCAAAAACTTTCCTACCCAACTTAGAAATGCCTTTCTGACTTTTGTCTGTATTTTAAACGCAGTAAGAGTTAAATCATCTTTGGCTAATTAACGTAAACGCCTAAATAATTTGAGCATACATATCTGCTCGGATAAGAGACGCTTCTTACTTCTGCCATTATGGGGTAGCGAAACTTAATTACTACGTGTGCGCAGGTTGGCGCAGTGCTTTATCTTTTTATGACACGGAACAAATTTAGCTTAAGGCCCAAATTCGATTCATTTTGGAAAAATGCTACTTGCCTAAAAGTGATGATTTCATTGGTGAACCTATAGGAAAAAAGAGAAGTTTAATTCGCATACTACTATTCCAGTGTACTGCGAAAGGACTGGTGAACTCCGTTCGCAAATTTTGCACAATGGAAACAGAAAGCTAAAAACAATATTCAGACTAACAATTTTAGCATCTTATTTACGTCGTGCACAGACGACGTCGCTTAATGATTTAAACTTTGTTTGGATAAGTTCACTACATAAAATTGTACGATGTCCAGCTAAAAGGACTACAAGTAAAAGCCAACCGTATTTTTTTTATCTCAGTCGACCTGACTTATTCAACAACAAAACGAGCTCAAATTATCTACACCGTTAAACTACGTTTCGATAGCTTATAACGGCTTTGCTTATGGAACTTGAATGCCGAGCTCCATACTGTCAATAGTACGGGCTTACCGTATTGAGCGAATTCTCAATCGTATTTCATTCTATTGCAGTCGTTCGTCAGCGCTTAGAAAACACAAATGGATTTGTTGGCGTTCTAAACGTTGTTTTTCTGAACCTAATATAGTAACCACGGTATAGTATAACATGGGCTCGCAGTCAGATCCTTCTGGGTTTTACGCTACCGCAAAAAGGTCAGAATATATTGCACATATAGCATATTTAATGCTATACTTCTGCGCGATTGCTAGCTGGCAGGAGGTGCAGGATAGCCATTATTATAGTTATTTGTACGATGGTCGTACCATATCGCCGGATCCTACTACTGTCATTGCAAATAGTAGCAACATTTCTAATTAACAGGTGAAACAGCGCCCGTCTAGAGAAAGTGAGCCAACAGCCAAAATGGCCTCCAGCGAAGTCAAACAGCTGATCGACTGCTCAGCTGATGAGATATATATAACCATCTTAGAATGATAGCTAATCACGACATGTCATTGGGAGTATACAGCAGCTTTAAGCTAGCTGGTTGGCCTGTTTAGGCACATTGTCGTACTGCACGGAAAGCGAGATCAGGCCCAGTAATACCTGGCGCGCTCTCGGCCACTCAAGAATCAAGATGGCGCCTATAGGCCTAAGGCAACGCAAAGGGAGAGCAGTGCGGCCGCTTTTTGCCTGGTTAATAGGGGCGGCCCTGTCAGTCATTATTGTTAGTTATCATCATTAAGCAAGGTCAGCTTTTGAGTTATTTTTTAAGTCCTAGTGATTTACCTTGGCGGTGGCCAGTTCGGACGTTAGGTCACGAAGACAACTGCGACCACCCAAAGTACACGCACAAAACGATTTTCACAAAATCACAGTGTTCACAATACATGTTCACGACATTTCTCCCGAAGGATACGATAAGGTCACTTTAAACATAAGTCAAGAAATGTGGGCGTTCCCGATTCTATGATTCAACAGTTTTCCGTGTACTGTTTGTTGTTACACTGATTCGCCTTTGTGTACTTTTGTTGATCTCTGTCCCATCCGCTGCTGTTTACCAGAAACTCGTCAGCAGCAACGAGAACCACTAGTGGTCATCAGCTGATCGTTGTTTTGATACGACTTGACGCATGCGCGCCCGGTGGACAATGGTGGCGCTGGTTAAAGGCGCCATTTACTAGGCACACAGTTACAAGGTGCGCGTACACCTAAAACGGCCTAGCCATTAACGCAACGAAGCGCTACGCCTTAGCTAGATCCATGCTGAACATCGTTATATAAATTCAGATTAGCGCTAATTTTGTAAAATAAATGCATCGATCATCGCTCACAACTTAATAATTTAATTGAAAATATTCTGTGACGTCATATTCTGACGTCACTTGTTTTGAAGAAGTGCGCTCCGCTCATTCGCTTCTCTACGTGCTTGGTGCTTCTGCGGCCGTCACTACCGCTGTTGTTGCTAGTATAGGCTGTAGAAGTTGTAGTGGTAGTAGTAGTTGCAGCTGCAGAAGCTAGTACCCTTTCTCTCCGAATCGAGTTTTGCTGGTTGGTTTCCCGGCCGATCTCTGTGCGTCGGTCGATCTTTAAGTCGTCGTAGAGAAGAGAGAGCAAGAGAGAGAGAGAGGCTAAAATGAGAGAGATGATTAGTGAGAGGGAAAGCTCGGGGAGCGATGGGGAGTAGGGCTCTACTATAGCCGCGACAGTGGCGGCCTCGGGCGTGCAATTTAGGCAGCCTTTGAGCCACCTGGCGGAGGAACTAACAAAGCTCACTGGCCCTAAGTAAGGAAGGAAGGGAACCCTAGCCGTCAATAATAACCCCATTCATCTCGAGGCATTCACATTGTGAGCTCGGTGAGCTTGCGAGCTCCGAGCTACGAAGCTCGCCTACTACCAACACCGCCCAACTGGGTCCATTGCCACGACGTCTACGCGGCGCCGCTCCGCTGTCTAGAAGAAGCGAGCGCGCACGGATAGCGCGGTTCTTTCGCGCGCGCTTTCGCATTCAACAAACCGGCGGTTGCCTGGAAACAAGTGCAGTAATAGTGGTGGTAGTAGTAGAAGGAGCAGCGCGTTTCGTGGCTCGCGCTGATTCAAGCTGCACAGAAGCAAACGCAAGAAAGGCTCCCTCGAACGGTGGTAGCCATTGCACCGTCGCCCTGTCGGTCGGTTGGACTAACCTTCCGCCCCCTAATCGGATACGTGTGCCTCTCGTCTCTCTGTAGCTTGTCTACAGGGTCGCCCAGCCAGTCTGTCTACCGTGCGTACAAACATCGCCCGCGGAAGTGGATTCGGCCACCGACTCGGTAAGTACGAAAGTGACTCAGTGGACCAGTGAAGTGTCTTTGTTGCGGATCGTCAGTTACCCCCCTGTGTGATGTAGCTTCTGCGTCGACCTCCGCCTACGCCGATGCCCTATGCCATCTAAGCGAGCATCAGGATGGCGTCTAGGCCTTGCCATGGCGCAACTGATGCACATCCAGTTTCGATTTATTGTACGATACAGCAATCGTTTTGACGTGGATTTACTGCTCAACATTGTGATTACCTGTGCCTACAATCTCTCCCGGGGTGCAATTACCAGTAGGATCAGTCATTGCCTACAAATCGATGCTAGCGTAGCCAGAAGCCTACCAGACATCAACGTAGACATCGCGTAGGCCAGTTGTGTCTATTTCTATTTAGGTTTATTTACATTGCTTGACGAGGCAGCGTGCTCCGGCCAACGTGTTGTAGGCCGGGCACGTTGCGAGGGAAGGGCGACCCGTTGGTTGGCCGCGGTAGGCTAGAGCGGAGAGGGTAGACGAAGGCGCACTGCCTTCCTCTACGAGCACCCGCCTACTCTCGCCTACTTGGCTATTCGGCCACCGGGGCTTGTTGGAACGGCGTACGATAGGCTCGGGTCTATCCAGGGATTGTGCTATGGCGTCCGCATGAGTTTCAATTGAAGACCACCGGTCAGAAAGGCAGGGGGCGTCGCCGTCGAGTAGGGCTAGGGTTATGCGAGTAGGCGAGTGGCGTCTATTTGCACCTACCGGTTGATGGATTGATGCGATTTGCTGGCATTAGGTGCGAAACCACTCCCAGGTTTAGAATCTAGAAAAGTTACGGTCAGTTAGGTTTCGTTGATTTTGTAGTTGGGTAGGCGTCGGTAGGCGTGGGCGTTGGGCTTGCCTGCGCTATATAACGAAAACAGCGGCCCTCCCTATGGCGGCCAATGGGTGGGCTATGGCGGGCGGGACTACGGGAGGTATCGATCGTGTTGCTTGCTGCTGCTACCAGATGCCATCTTGGAACAAGCCCAGGAGCGAGCCGAGTCTCCGGGAGCAAGCTTGGGAGGGAGCAACTTGTGCGTTATATGCAGTTTACATTTACGTGCAGTTAGTAAGAGCTAAAAGATACGCAGCTAGTTTGTTCTTTATGTAGGACATGCGTTAGGCTAGCTTTGAGGGTTACGAATAGTGCTAATCTTTTTGTACCATAGTACATTTTCTCGCTGAGGTCATTAGCCGACGATGCTGGCGTGGGATTGAAATCGTGTGTATTATGATGGCGTCCCTCCGGGTTCCGGCGTCACCGTGGCTGGGAAGTGAAAGTGAAGGCACAGTTCTGGAGAGGAGAACATTATGCGCCCGCATCCTATCTGCGAACTATACACATCTAGCTTCGTCTACCGATTGAAAGGCCAAAAGAACTTACAGAGGACTATGTCCATCTGCAATAATATATCTACGTCTTCGTAGAGTAGAGGATATATATATATATATATATATACATACATATACATATACATATACATAGATATTTTTGGGAAATAATTACGTGAAAAAAGCAATTAAGATATAAATACGAGGCGCCAAAAAGAACAGCGTGATTAATTTGTGCAAGACAAGTTGCAGTTAACACAACAGATATAAATTCGTCGTCAGTCAATCTTATTGTGAACAGATTTTACCACAAGATACCAAATCTCAAAGTGGACCGAGAGCATTGGTTTAAAATAGAGCGAAAGGCATAAGAAACGCCACATATTGTCAATAAGCGACGCGCTTCGAAGTCACTCCTTAATAGCGCCTTCTCCAATAGTTCTCGCTTCATTACGAATATATGGCCAACACGTCCTTTGCCCTAAAGAGAGCGATGAATGTCCAAAATAATATCAAATGGTGATCAGTTTCCCAATGGTTTTATAATAGGCGAGAAGGCAAAATGTATACTTGTAGGCCAGCCTGTCTATCGCTTGTTACCTTAAGCGCTGTCCTGGCATGAGTATTCGCGCGTAACTATATGCGATTATTGTGTTAGCGCCCTTCTAAGGTGACAGGTGAAGGGATCTCCTCCATGCGGGCTTCTTCATTAGAATCGTCGTCGTTGCTGTCGCAGTGCTCAGTGACAAGGACATCAATGACGTTGCGCTATGTGCTGATCATCCCTCTAATGCCGTTTATGGATACAAACTCGTTTTTGAGTCCTAATGCATTCAACTTAAATCAAAGGATCATGTTATATAGGAATGATATATACTTGCCGATGGAAGTAAACAGTAGGTTTTATGCCTTTGTTTAATAAAGGGGTAAGATTTTGGAGGATACTACATTCAATCAGCAAGCAGTCCTAATGTTGGAAGAGTACTTTACCAAGCTAGAAGTCTTGTTCCTGTGACTGCTTTTGAAAGGAAAAACCACGCATTAACGATGTTGCCCGTGTTCCCTCCTACGAGAGGAATCTACGAGGAGTTTGAAATTTTGCTTATAGTAAGTTCCTTGATTCATACAGATTGTATATTATATGTCGTTGGCAAGACTTGCAGCAACAATCTCCGGTCTCTTTTAACTCTTTCAAAGTTCAAGTGTATTTTTCAATTAGGCCTTACTATACTTGCAGTGAAGCGTTACGATTCAATGGCTACTAGTGAACTGGGTACGCGCATCAGTGACACAGGTGCACGCAAATTTTTCTGGAGGAAATACTGAAATTTTACAAAATTTCTCCATGTAGCTCCATCAAAAATACATTCGGGTGTTGCTTCATACATAGGCAACGCAAATTGTGACCAATAAGAAGCTGCATTTCGAGCGGAAGGCCCATTTACTCACTTGAGGCGCCCGTTATCATAAGGTGATAACTGTATGGTTGTGTTCAACAAAGACATTTCGATACTACGGCAGAAAAACGGCTTATAGCTATTCATTAAGTTTCATCGAGAAAATATTACTTAAAGCATTTCTGTTTCTTCTTCATACCGCTTTATAAGATAAGGCTATGTGGAACCAAGATGGGGTATATGCGCTTCTAATGGTTTTACGCAATAGGTCAGTTTCGACAAAGCTAGAGGGAAACTACCGCAAAAAAAAACCATTACCTTGACACGGGAAGACGATGCTATGTAATCATTTAATGCTGAACAAGTTACCGATCATGATTCGTCTACCGTAGGTCCTTACAGAGTTTTTTGGGAAATAAAAAGTAGGATCCTGAAAGGCCCGAATACTGTCGTCCAGGCTTATTAAAGTAGCGCATATTGTTATTCAAAGCCACTTAGCCAATGCTCTATCTATGAGACTGTTGTGGCTAGCCATGGTCGTGATTAGTTGAAAGGTAGTTTATATGCCGGCAACGTTATTTAGTTTTCAGGGTGCGCTACTGCAATACGCGGATCACACTGTATTTAAAAAACGATCACATATAACGTATTGATATTCTGAGTGATATTATTTATTCGTTGCCAATCGTTATCATTAGAAAAGAATAACCTATATATATGTACTCTAAATACTTTTTTACTATCTGATGAAATTTGGTAAATCAGCAACGTAGGTTGTATCATAATTCTGAATCATAAAACGCATGTGCGTCTCAGAAATCCTAAAAGCCTGGTAGTGTTATTTTTACTTTAGTACTTTAGTAGAAAAAAGAACAAAGTAATTGACGATAGCTGCGTTTGGTTATTACTACTACTAAAGTCCCCCCATTCGGGGCAAAGCGAATTCAAAGATCGTTAACAGTTGCCGACCACCCCCCAGAGAGAGTGGTGAAACGTGTCCTAAGAAGCATTTGTGAATCACTAAAAGACTGAAGAAAGCAAATTTTACCATTGAACATCTATATCGTTTTTTCTTTTTTTTTTTTTATATATTTTCCTTGTTGTCAGACATAACGTGCTAGCATTTTTGGTACTTATCCAGTAACATATATATGGCATTAGCTTAGTAAATCTAATTAGTTGTTTTAAAACCGCCTGAATCCGAATTTTTTAATCACTGTAGGTAACTGCTGCTACTAAGTGGCCGTGCAAATCTACCTATAAGCTTATATTGCACAGGGTTCCATTAAATGCTTGCGTGTCATTCGAGAGAATTCAATTATTTATAGTTCTCCTTAATTCTTTTTTTTTTCTAGAAAACGGAAAATGTGACAGGCAGTGGAACACTCAAATGACTTTTGAGTCTACTGTGATCAGTTCCATGCGAGACCAGTCAGTAAATATCATTACGTTTCCTTTTCGATTTATATTCGAAAAATTCCTCGCGTCACTGGCAAAGCCTTTGGAAATTAAGAGATTCACGTCCAGAAAAAAAATTCTTAATTAGTGAACCTTTGCTCTCCACTCGAGAAAGCTTAGTTAGCATTTACGTGAGCCCGCACAGAAGTGTCCCTATGGGTCTAATGAGTCAAATAGGAACCACATACCTTCTAGACTGGCCTATATATATATATATATATATATATATATATATATATACGTAGAAATCATCCGACGAGCAGTAGCTAACCAACGAAAGCGTTTTCATCCTTCTTTTGTCTTTAGCTGGTGGTTTTGTCGCCACTAACTTTCTAGATTTTGCGCTCACTCGAAGAGAGTTCCTCTGCCGCTTCAGTCTCTCTCCGTTTTGGAGCCTCCTCTTTCCCCTACCGGACCAGCTCAATCTCTACCAGTCGCTTTTTTCCCCCTAGGGGACTTTCGCCCCTCTGTACTTTGTTTCTTCCTACACGGCCTTTGTCATTGTTACGTTGAATCTGGGTAAGGTTACAGCACTGTTGAATGGGCAGATGACCGACTATACTTCCCAACTTTCATATTCAGTCGGCCACCATACCGTGGGACTAAACACACTCACAACCGTATGTATACGTATATTCCTATATATGCATAAAATATTTAGGGGATTTTTTTTGCTTAACTGCTCCTAGTGCCGAGCTTATAGTGCATTTTACCCTCCCCATGTTCTTCGAAGGATTCGCGACTTCCGAAGAAACGCGCAATTCCTGCTACCTAGGCACGACGTAAAACACTAACGGAAGCGAC